GACGCTCACTAGTCCCACTGCTTCTTCGGCAGCCGACCGATACACTGTCTCTCTTCTTGATCGCCAATTTACAGCTGTTATATTACTTTTACTGTATCAGCCTAAAGCTGACCTTGCTGTATTACGTGTTTATAATACATTGTGAGATTAAATCTTTTGTGCCTTTTCCTTCGCAAGTGCCTACCGTCATCTCCGAGCCCACTACTCTGACAATTTGCATGTTCAATTTTATTGTCGTTTATTTTAAATCCAACCATTTTGATATTTTCCTCAACTATGTCAACATGAGTAGCTACTATCACCCTACCGTATAATAAAACTCTATACCCTACTTATTAATAACCTAATACAATTTTTAATTTAGCTTTATCCCATTTAGGTTGCCTCTTTTGTTCTGGCATTTTTACAAAATCCTTACTTTCATACAAACGTGAATTTTTAGAACAAGGTTTCGCACCAAACATTATTTCATAAAAAGTTTTTTTTTTTCTACTGAATTTGAAATAATTTTTTTTTTTTAATATGCAACTGTTTCAACTACTTTGGGACAATACATTCTCGGTACATTATCATCTGCTAGGAGACTCCACGACCTATTCATGATATCCCTGTTGTTCTTTTCTGTCGTCTCATTTAACTGATGAACATACGATGGGCATGGTTCAATCACAATTCCTTTTTCTCTTGCAAAAATATAAACATCTTTATTTAAATATTCTTTACCATTATTGCGTCCTAATATTTTAATTTTTTGTTCCTGTCATATCATCTGTTGTGACAATATAACTAATGAATTAATTATAAACCTCACTCTTTAATTAAATTACAAAAACGTTAATTATCTTGCTATAATCTTCAATAAGAGTTAGAATAGTAGTTTTCCTACGAGTTTGAAAAGTCTTTGTTTGCGAACCGAGAGCTTTGCGGCCCGAGCCGAAGGCGAGGGACGTAACGAGGTTCGTAAAGGAGACTTTTCGAACGAGTTCCGGAAAACTGCTTTTTCGCCCGAGGAAGTACCAGCCTCCCAAAACCACCCGAGGGCGGAAATAGTAGTTTTCCTACGAGTTTGAAAAGTCTTTGTTTGCGAACCGAGAGGTTTGCGGCCCGAGCCGAAGGCGAGGGACGTAACGAGGTTCGTAAAGGAGACTTTTCGAACGAGTTCCGGAAAACTGCTTTTTCGCCCGAGGAAGTACCAGCCTCCCAAAACCACCCGAGGGCGGAAATAGTAGTTTTCCTACGAGTTTGAAAAGTCTTTGTTTGCGAACCGAGAGGTTTGCGGCCCGAGCCGAAGGCGAGGGTCGTAACGAGGTTCGTAAAGGAGACTTTTCGAACGAGTTCCGGAAAACTGCTTTTTCGCCCGAGGAAGTACCAGCCTCCCAAAACCACCCGAGGGCGGAAATAGTAGTTTTCCTACGAGTTTGAAAAGTCTTTGTTTGCGAACCGAGAGGTTTGCGGCCCGAGCCGAAGGCGAGGAACGTAACGAGGTTCGTAAAGGAGACTTTTCGAACGAGTTCCGGAAAACTGCTTTTTCGCCCGAGGAAGTACCAGCCTCCCAAAACCACCCGAGGGCGGAAATAGTAGTTTTCCTACGAGTTTGAAAAGTCTCTGTTTGCGAACCGAGAGGTTTGCGGCCCGAGCCGAAGGCGAGGGACGTAACGAGGTTCGTAAAGGAGACTTTTCGAACGAGTTCCGGAAAACTGCTTTTTCGCCCGAGGAAGTACCAGCCTCCCAAAACCACCCGAGGGCGGAAATAGTAGTTTTCCTACGAGTTTGAAAAGTCTTTGTTTGCGAACCGAGAGGTTTGCGGCCCGAGCCGAAGGCGAGGAACGTAACGAGGTTCGTAAAGGAGACTTTTCGAACGAGTTCCGGAAAACTGCTTTTTCGCCCGAGGAAGTACCAGCCTCCCAAAACCACCCGAGGGCGGAAATAGTAGTTTTCCTACGAGTTTGAAAAGTCTCTGTTTGCGAACCGAGAGGTTTGCGGCCCGAGCCGAAGGCGAGGGACGTAACGAGGTTCGTAAAGGAGACTTTTCGAACGAGTTCCGGAAAACTGCTTTTTCGCCCGAGGAAGTACCAGCCTCCCAAAACCACCCGAGGGCGGAAATAGTAGTTTTCCTACGAGTTTGAAAAGTCTCTGTTTGCGAACCGAGAGGTTTGCGGCCCGAGCCGAAGGCGAGGGACGTAACGAGGTTCGTAAAGGAGACTTTTCGAACGAGTTCCGGAAAACTGCTTTTTCGCCCGAGGAAGTACCAGCCTCCCAAAACCACCCGAGGGCGGAAATAGTAGTTTTCCTACGAGTTTGAAAAGTCTCTGTTTGCGAACCGAGAGGTTTGCGGCCCGAGCCGAAGGCGAGGGACGTAACGAGGTTCGTAAAGGAGACTTTTCGAACGAGTTCCGGAAAACTGCTTTTTCGCCCGAGGAAGTACCAGCCTCCCAAAACCACCCGAGGGCGGAAAAAGTAGTTTTCCTACGAGTTTGAAAAGTCTTTGTTTGCGAACCGAGAGGTTTGCGGCCCGAGCCGAAGGCGAGGGACGTAACGAGGTTCGTAAAGGAGACTTTTCGAACGAGTTCCGGAAAACTGCTTTTTCGCCCGAGGAAGTACCAGCCTCCCAAAACCACCCGAGGGCGGAAAAAGTAGTTTTCCTACGAGTTTGAAAAGTCTTTGTTTGCGAACCGAGAGGTTTGCGGCCCGAGCCGAAGGCGAGGGACGTAACGAGGTTCGTAAAGGAGACTTTTCGAACGAGTTCCGGAAAACTGCTTTTTCGCCCGAGGAAGTACCAGCCTCCCAAAACCACCCGAGGGCGGAAAAAGTAGTTTTCCTACGAGTTTGAAAAGTCTTTGTTTGCGAACCGAGAGGTTTGCGGCCCGAGCCGAAGGCGAGGGACGTAACGAGGTTCGTAAAGGAGACTTTTCGAACGAGTTCCGGAAAACTGCTTTTTCGCCTGAGGAAGTACTAGCCTCCCAAAACCACCCAAGGGCGGAAAAATATTTTTCTTTATTGTAACCCATTGTACTATGGGGCCCTTTCAAATCAGTGTGATATACTTCCAAAATTTGCTTTGCTCTTTTTCTATTATTCTCAAAAGGCAAGTTATGCATTTTATTTTCGATACAAATTTTACATTCAAAGTAGTCAGACTTAATATCCTCTAGTCATCCATCTAATAATTTTTTATCATACTTTGTTCTTAAATAATTAAAACTGACATGTCCCAATTTTCTGTAAGGCTTATCTTTTTTTGTCATTGATTTTTCAAACTTATTTGTCATACTTAATCTTCTGAAATGACTGTATTATTTTATTGTAACTTTACTATACCTCATTTAATTTCTATTCATTTCTTTATTAAATAAAACNACTTATAAAAAATAAAGAAGTAAGAGATACGAAAATTTAATAAGAGTTACATCAACATCTTAATAAGAGAAAACATTTTTAAAAATAACTTTATGTGTAACTTTACCATGGCTTATCAAATTTCTATCCAGTACATTAAAGTATAAAAAATTATTTAATTTTACTTCTTGATTTAAATCATTAAAAGTATCTAAGATATTTCCTACTGTCGTTGCTTTCAAAAATCGACCTTCTCCTACTTTTGTACTAACCAGTACTTTCAAGTATATACATTCCTAATAAAAATCATCATTATTTACGATATAATCAGAGCAATCGCTATCTAATAGCCATTAATACTGTCATTGCAAATATTATTGACCTTAACATTCAAATTTCTTTTTAAATCTGTTATAACCGCAGTACAAAAACTATTTCCCTGACCATATTCAGTATTTTCATTGCGATCATCATGGCCTTGACGCCACTGCTGCTGCTGCCAACTGCCATCCTGACGATAATTGCCATATCCTCTTCCAACTCCTTGACCACCACCACCAGTAAGACCGCCTCTGTTACCAGAGAGAACTGCTACTTGCTCGGGCCGGCCAGGAGTCACCACTCCCCCTAAGTCTCGCCTGCGGTGACTGCCCTGGCGTTGAATAACAAGTCTACGAATAGTATTTGCGCGTAATGTATGTATGTGTTGGTGCACTACAGTCATCCCAGCGAGACGAGCGGCAGGTGTGCAGTCCCACGACCGCACAGACAACCCAACAAAACGAGCTGGCATAAGGCACTAAGGTGCCGATATACAGCCTCTTCAGTGGTAGTAAGCCTAGATTAGTCGGCCCACCACGTCTTTGTTTATAAGGCGTACAGCCATATCAGATGGTTACCCAGACTTACCTGGGCCTCATCGTCCGGCTTTACCCGCCGCCAGGCCTCCAACGCAAGCCTGAAGAAGGACCCACCACACGCAACCCAGAACAATCCGTAAGTGTCCCTGTGTTTGTTTAGTGAGAGAGTGTGATGCATGTATCTGAGAAGAATATTTTAACCACCGCTTACTTCTATACACGACGGGTGCTAGTTTTTGTTGGCCTGCATCAAGCATTGAGGTGCCACCTACGATGGCAGCAGAAAGCAAAGAACAAGGAGCACAAGCAGAGCCAGCCCATGCATCCACACCGATGGAGACATGGGGCACTAGTCCCCCGTCTACACCGCCGCAGATACACACGCCAACGACACACACGCCTCTCGATCCACGCCCCAGTTGCCTGAGACGTGTCCATATCCCAGGCATTTGTAACATCTTGTTACTCTAATTCTTCTTATATTCAGCAGCTTTCAAAGCCAACCCATAACCTGCATTCATACTCTACTTTTCTGGCAGTTGCTTCGTCCACCTTTATTAACGCCAGCCTCTGTCCTCTGGCATTTGGCTTTAAGAGTGCTACTTTTGGCTCCTGGCTCTTAAGTATAAAAGTCCTAGCGAAAGCCTCATTGACCTCATCTTCCTCTACAATAGCATCCAGGTCTCGGACCTCTAATGTCACTTTTTTGTTGCTCATTTTGACAGTACTCTGTCTGGCTACCGACTTTTTAATTTGCTGTGAGAATGCAGCAGCATTCTCTACACATTTGGCAATAATAAGTATGTCTCCTTTTTTTGTAGTGACAGCACTTTGGACTGCCAGAATTATTCTTATCAGGGTCAAAGATTGCCTTCATCGTCCTCAGCACCTTTGAAAATGTCTGCCCTTCGGCCATCTTCACTACAACTATTATAGTCGCATTCACTTTTTTCTTCTGGATTGTTTTTTCGTTCAGGAGAACTTCTTCTTGTTTGCCACTGCCTGTTTTCTTTTTCTTTGAAGGCATGGTTTGCTAGCGTTTCTCAGGGCTGTCCAATAAGCTCCTGTCTCTTTTACTTCGTTCTATTTCCTTTAGGACAGTGTTCAGGGTTCTTTTCTGTACCTGCCGTTGGAACTCATCTCGCCTTTGTTCCCAACACTGCAGGGATTCGAATGACAACTTCCAAGCGTTTGCATACACTTCTTCTCCATAAAGAAAGCCTTTTTTTAGCACCTCTGCCTCTTGAAGCTGTTTAAGATTGGCTTTTAGCCTATTCTTAACAGTGTTCACTGTGTTGCCGTACTTATCGTTGATTAATTGTAACGTCTCTGTTATATCTTTCGTTGCTGATTAGACTGTATCAGCCACTTGCTGTCGCTTTAATTTCAGCTTAGCACCATCTTCTTCTTGAAAGGCTAGCTCTTCCTGGGTCTGGTGGCTAAATACCGACACGTTGCTGTCTTCGGTGTCGTTAGTACCCAGAATTCGTGGGGCCTGCGGCAGTCACCCGGGTTTTCACCAGATCGGAACTGCCAGCGGATTTCCTCAGAGAGGTTACCGCCCGGGTTACAAGTTTTGCATCGACGTTTTTCATGTTGGCATCTTTTTTAATGTTGTACTGACCCGCAAGGGCCAGCACTACCCTTTTTTCTAGAAATGAGTATTTGGAAAGGGTTAAAACCAGGGCAGCAGCCCTCTCTGTTACCAGAGAGAACCGCTACTTGCTCGGGCCGGCCAGGAGTCGCCACTCTCCCTCAGTCCTACCCGCAGAGACTGTCCTGGCGTTGAGTAACAAGTCTAAAAATGATGTTCATGTGTAATGTATGTATGTGTTGGTACACAACGGTTATAGTCGGCCTACCATGTCTTTTTTGTTGATGAGGCGTACAGCCATATCAGATCTGGTTACCCAGACTTACCTGGGCCTCATTGTCTGTCTTTACCCCCCGCCAAGCCTCCAACGCAAGCCCAGGAAAGGACCCACCACACGCAACCCAGAACAATTTGTAAGTATCCCTGTGTTTGTTTAGTGAGAGTGTGGTACATGTATCTGAGAAGATGGTTTTAACCACCGCTTACTTTTACACACGATGGGTGCTAGTTTTTGTTGGCCCGCATCAAGCAAAGAAGTGCCACCTATGGCAGCAGCAAAAAGCGAAGAACATGGAGCACAAGCAGAGCTGGCCCGTGCATCCACACCGGTGAAGACAACGGGCACTAGTCTTCTGTCCACACCACCACAGATACACATGTCAACGCCGCACACGCCCTTCGACCACTACCACAGAGAGCAACTTGAGCTGCCCATTGTCACCTCATGTCTATTGAGGATGCCTCTATCTGCCACTCGGGGAAGCGCCCGGTATGGAGAAACTAGCGAAAACCTCACCCGGGAGTAGTAGTAGTAGTAGTAGTAGTAGTAGTAGTAGTAGTAGTAGTAGTTGTAGTGTTTGTAGTAGTAGTAGCAGTACTAGTAGTAGTAGCAGTAGTTGAAGCAGCAGCAGCAGCAGCTTAAAAACAATAAGGTCGAGAAAAAAGGAGAAATAAATACTTAATTAACGAATGTTTCTTGTTTAATGAAAGGACCATCTCTTGTTGTGTAAACACCGCCTTAAACTGTTAACTCCTTACGAGATCCTATAGCTATGAATCAAAATAAAAGTCACGAGCAGCCCTTAAATTCCTTGGAAAATGCATATAAATAGAAGTGTCGTATGCTAGTTTTAAACTTCTCTTTTAAGGTCTTAAATAACTTATAGCAGAAAAATGAATTCGTTTACCAAAAAAAATTACTTACATTTATAATACAAAGGAATAGTTGTTACTTAATCCATAGGTTCAGAATGTACTTTTAAGTGTTTTGAACATTCTGAGGGGAAAGGGGTATTGTTCTTGTATCCTTTTTTTAAGTTTGCTGTATTGCTATTATTTTATAGTGCTGCTGTTTACTTATTCGATTAAACTAGTTGCTTTTGAATTAAAAGAAGCTTAGAATATCTGGAATGTATATTATAAGAAAGCTGTACTCTGAACTATTTAGTCAGACATTGATATCGCAATGGCGAGAAAGCGACCATTTTGTCTTTTCAGTGAGATTAAACTCATAGACAAACTAGTGTTTCTTAATGACGTAAGCGAGCTAGGTAGATATACTGAGAGGGTTCTGGTCCACCTCCCTCTTCCTTCTAGGGTAAGCTGTAGCATAGAGCTTCTAGGGGGGAGCTGTAGTGCGAGGGTATGGGGCTCCCCCCTCCGAGTGGGCGGCTGTCGCAGGGGGGAGGCACGTGCGGGTCACAGGTCGTGGGTTGGCCGTGTTGCTGCACGAGCTTATCTGCACTCCCCCCTTTTCTAGTGTCGGCTTGTTCCTCAGACTAGATTTGGGATAAGACCACTTACTTACACGCATTAAAATGTACACATAAGTACGCCTATGTATGATTGCTCACGCTTAGTCGAATGATCATGCACGTAGATATCAATGAAATAGATAGAGTAAGCGTTTAGTTAAATAAGGCACTTTAATGCACAGCCCTATAAAGTTTATAGTAAAGTACCTGGTACCACAAGCTAGGGAAGTAAGCGATACTTCTCTAAATCAGACCACTTCTCAAATAGCATTGGCTTGTTTTGCGTAGTGAACCGTATTTACGAGTAGTTTGGTAGTCTTACAGCTGAAAACATATCTAACATATGCTATGTATGAAAAAAAGTATGAGTTTGAATGCGTCTTTTAAAGAGATTTTTAGTGGATGAGATGCTTTCACTTGAGGACATAGTGGAGCCTCAAACTCCAGAAAACGATCTTGAACCCACCACTGAAAGTGTGGATGTTTCATTAGTAAACAAAAATTTATTACAAGTTCTATATTTTCGACGATGCCTAATGTTTTCCTTTGATAACATTGAATTGAATGCAGTGCTTTAACTGTTAGTGTAGCCGAAGTATCATACACGTTATTTCACCCACACTACTAAAATAAGTAAGTAGAAGTGAGTGTACCCAACTATGTTTACTGGTATCTATACCAATGGTATAGTTATAATTGTCTCCATTCTGTAGAAGTTTTGGGGCACATGTTGGTGTATTCCGGAGAAGAGAGATATGCACCTTTGACGGCAATGAATCTTCAAAAATTGTAGCGTGCAATGAGGAAGGATTTTATTCATTGAAAGCGTGACGTTATTGATAACAGGAGGTAAAATTTTACGTAGTGTCTCTCCCCACCAAAACACACCATATATCTTCGTAATTACGTGGATATAGTTGATACGCATGTGGAGTGGGCAACTCTACTGTCTGGTACTCATAGGGTACAAGATTTTTTTTTTCCATGCAAGTGAAGTGAGTGAGGTGCATGCATGAACGTGGATGTGAGGTATGAATAGAAACAGCGAAAATTTTTAAATAAAAAATTCTACATAACTCTTATTTTCTACAACTTTTATTTTTAACAGCTTTAATTTTATTGAATTCTTTTCTTACAGGATTCAACAATAAATTGCGTCAGCAGCACACAGATAGTTTTTTTTTAAAGCGATGGAAACTCAAGTGGTTATTTCATGTGTATACAAGATGTTAACATCTTTTTTAAGTGATTAAAACATAACAGAGTCACGAAAAGTGTGTTTTTAATTTTAACAGTAATTATTTACTTAATATTAATTAAGTTAAATACTTTGGAAAAAAATATTTTTTACCTGTGGTTATATACTTTTTTACTAAGAAATGTAAATAAATTCTTTTTAACAATAAGACGTGTTATTCATGGCTTACTTATTTAAGACACAGTACCTTTCCAATAAATAGAGCAAGCTAACAAATTTTAGTTGTTTTTTTAACTCTATAGGAATGTCGTGCTTATTTTTATAGTGAAAATGACGAGAGTACGAAGAACTTTGTCAATTAAAATTACAAAGCAGTGAAATAAGTTAGCTACTTCGGACAGGAGTTGAACCTGGGCCTCCTTCATGTTAGGAAGGCACGTTAACCAACTTCGCCACCGAAGCCTTGACAGACACCCTTCTTTACTGCTCTGTTAAAGCGTGTCTCAAGTCGAACGCTGATATCATAGATATTGATGTTATTACTCGATGGGCAAGTATTAAGTCAAATTATTATGTATATATTGACCTCTTCCATGTAAACTGCGCTAGTTATATATATATATATATATATTTTTTTTTTTTAGACAGCATAAATTTTGTATGACATTCCTTTATAATACTGTTTAGTACTTGTACTTCAACAAAATTTAACTAAGTAATATTGACTTTTGCCCTAACACTTTTATATACTTTTGACACAGCAAGAAGGCATGAATGTATTTGACGCCAAATTTGCATGAAGTATCCGTCCAAAGTCAATATTACTTAGTTTGATTTCGTTAAAGTATGAGTACTAAACAGTATTATACTACGAATGTCATACAAAACGTATGCTGCACCAAAAAAAAAAAACTTTATCGTTTTTATATTTTGATTTCAGAACTTTTCAAGGCTACAGATTTATCAGGAAGAATTTTATTCATTGTGAGTGTGTATAAAGGTTAAGAAATTCCTTACAAAATGTGAACTCAACACATCAAATTTACCTAACACTTAACTTCTGTTAAAAGCTATTTTTAAGGGTTGTTTTTACATGAATCCAATCCTTGTTTAATTACTACTTGATTGCCATCTGTACACAACTAACAGTGTTTCGTTATTTGGCTCTCATGTAATTTACTAGCAGCCCCCCCGTCTTGAGATTCACTGAATAAACCACC